TACTAAAAGTCAAGGAAGAACTAATGAAAAAGAAATAATTCATAAAATAGATATCTTCATGAACTTTTAATATTTTTTCTAATATTATGATTAAGCTTATTTGATTTTTTTTTTTTTTTTTTTAATGTTATGTAAGAAATGTTAGAAAGGATACATGTTTTTTTTATTATGTGATTTTTCTGTTCCTTAACGTACTTCTGGTTGCTACACACTTGTTCTGGCTCTGATACACAATGTCAACAAAAACAAGACAGTTCTCTTGTAAGAATTTCTGCAATTGTATTGGAATTCTTAATTGAATGGAAACTACGAGTTCCGGGCACAGTTTTTAGGTTTTTAGACCTAGGTCTCTCATGATCCATATCCTCTGCTGGAATCCATACTATCGTTCTCCTTTTCTCGCAGCAATTACCCTCAGTTGTAACAGCTGGAAGGGACAACTTGTTGTAACACACTTCATCAAAATCTTTAACATTGTTCACAACAACACTTTCATTTTTACTGCTCGACTTACACATGTTTTGATTATACCCCCCTCCCCATCACATCTGTTTTTGCCACGTCCATAACCATAATAAGGCCTTTCCATAGCTACACTAAAATCTAAAAAGGCACTCTTACATTTGTATTGTGCAGCACATCCATCTGTTAAGACAAAAACTTTGCTTAAATTTGCATTGTCTGTTTCTTTGTGGTGATTTATTAATTTTTTTAAAAATACGTTGACAGCATGACTGTCATGAATAAGATCTTCTTGAAACGATGTCAACATTTCTTCAATTTCATTTTTGTTGGGACATTTCTTACAATCCATCTAACAATGCTCCTTGAACCTCACTTTGTGAAAAACGTGTGTAGTTTTCTGAAAAATCTGCCGTAACCACAATTGCATCTTCAGGACATTTTTATTCAAAACACGAAACTGCTCTTGTTGCCAAGAGGCAATAAATAAATGTTCAGAAAAGGATTCCACAATTACTATCAGCTAGTACAATTTTGATGTTACTTTTCCTCACCATATTTATGTACCCGGTACCTAAAAGAATACAAAATCTACATCTAAAATACTTTATTGACATGACATAAAGGGTTATACAAGAGGAAACCCCATCAACAGTCTTAAGACTAAAGTAAAAGTACCATAGGCCATCTATTTGTCCTGAGTATAAGCTAGGCCTATACAAGGTCTATGGTCAGAGTACGGTTCTTTCTAAACAAAGCATTGACACGGTCGTCTTAATTTAGCAATTTCAGGCTAAGAATAACAGTATACTAGACTATTATAAATTTTGAAATGAACAAAAGCTTAAAAAAGTGTGGTTATATTTTGATCGAAGTTACGTTAAAATCTGTCTTAGTAACGTTAATTTTCGATCGATTGACATGTAAATTAAAAAAAAAAACTCGCAAAATATATATTTCTTTATGGTAAAACAAACATATGCACGGATAAAAATCGTCATGGAATTAATTAAGATTCAATTTAGACTAGAAAAAATTAGGAAGCATAATAGTACTTACCGTTTAGCGTAACAAGATGGACGGATTGACTTCAAGATGACGTAGAACGACCTTATTTGAGCGTATTTCCCCGCCCTGGTCGGATTTCATTGGTTTTTATACGCCCACATGGAAATGTGGATGTATATTGCCGTCACCCCTGTCCGTCGGTCCGTTGGTCCGTCAACATTTCTTGTGAACACAATAGAGACTACAGTTTTCAACTGATTTTAATGAATTTAGGTGTGCTTGCCTGGCAAGCTATCTTTAAGTTTTTACGTAACAGGGGCGTATTTGGACGGAATTTATTCAACTTTATTATAATTTTGTATATGGCTATTTGTACAGTAAAGGCACCATTAACTCCCAAAGAGTAGATAAAATTAAAAGTGAATGTAGAGCTTAAAACTTTTTTCATCCATCTGGAGACATCATTCAATAAAGCAGAAATGAATATTATAAGATAAATTGTTTATCACCAGACAAGCGGTTAGTGTTTATATTGCACCACCTAAATTCACAAATTTGACTGAGGATAAAACAAGTATCCTAAACCACCAATTATATTCAGTTTCTACAAGTTATATCTAGTTTAAGGTACTAATACGATACTCTGCTTAATATTTTCACATGAATATTTAATATTTTTTAAGTGGTTTGATCACTTAATATTAAAATTTGTACTACAAAGAAAAAGATGGACATTTGTTGCATATTTATACTGTATCAATGCAACAAAGAGATAAATTATATTAATTAAACAATTTGATAACCGCTAAATGTGTTTAATATCAGAATTTACTGTTTATTTGAATTCATTAATGAAAATATCAGAAATACAACAGTTTGTAACAAAAAATTGATAACGTTATAGTGGATGGACAAAGAGTAACGTTCTCAAAATAAGGATGGAAAGTAACATTCTCAACAGGCATAAAAATAGTTTATGTAACATTCTCAAAAGGACAAATAGAAGTAACATTATCAATTAGTATATTCTATCAACATAACATCCACACAGACCATTGTCATATATTCACATAATATCTGAAAATTGGAACTTGACTCGGATTCCAACCACAGTTGGCAATGGCGAACTCAAAACCTTTTTAACCCTATCAATTGGCTCTAGTGAACAGTCTTCTTTTGCAGGCCACACATATTTTCTATTATCCTGTTCGACCATATATCTTAACCAAAGATTCTCTCCTTTGACATCAAGAATCTTTAACATAATCCAATTATTCAATAGACACGATATCCATGCTAGTTAAAAATTTGATTGATCACGATTGAGCCTTTTCCTGTTTCTGTCTTTTTCTTTAAACCGTCTGTACTTTTGAGGATTTAATTTTAAATTATCACGAAAAGTTTGCTTATCTGTTCTCCATTTTTCATTTTGATTTACTTTCTCTTGAGGTGTGACATGTTTAAATGAAACTTTTATTAAAGCACTTGATGATGTACTGGTACTTTTCTGTTTAGTCTTGTTTTGTTTTTTTCTTCTAAATTTTTCTTGACCAAAATCGATTCTGAAGTTTGATTTTTTCTTGTGTTTCAACATCTTTTTTACTTGGTTTTGATTTATTCAATCTCTTTTTAAGCTCACTTCGGTTTTTTTTCCCTTGTTCTTTTTGATACGTTAAATACTTCTCATATTTTTCAGCTTTCTTCTATATTCAGTTGATGAACTTAATTTGGACTAAAAAAGAAAAAAGTTTAAAGTTTATTTAATTTGAAATTATGAAATTGCAATCTAAGAAATAGGCCTACAAAAAATCTTCAAATACTCCTGTCTTGTTAAAGAAAGTACCGGTATACAAAACTGAGGAATACAGAAGTCCAAACGGTCAAATTCAAGAAGGTGGATGCAAAGAATGAATGGCATTTTCAGAGGAAAGAGGGGTTATTTAATAACATTGTAAATGTGTTTCAACATTCTTGCCTAGTACTACCTTGGACTATGCTATAGACTTTTAGAAAAATAACAGGCCCATAGACCTTTAATTAGACCCCTTCACCCTCCTAGTCCTATACTAAAATTGATTTACCTAAAAAAAAAATAAAAACGAATTTAGTAGGCCTGTTACTTTGCCAAATCATTCTCACATTCTCAGTATATTATTATTGTCCATCCACAAATAACGATATCAATATATTTTCAATCCAACAAATAACATTCTCAATATATATTCCATCCCATAAATAACATTCTCAATATATATTCCATCCCATAAATAACGTTCTCAATATATTTTCCATCCCATAAATAACGTTATCAATATATTTTCAATCCAACAAATAACATTCTCAATATATATTCCATCCCATAAATAACGTTCTCAATATATTTTCAATCCAACAAATAACATTCTCAATATATATTCCATCCCATAAATAACATTCTCAATATATATTCCATCCCATAAATAACGTTCTCAATATATTTTCCATCCCATAAATAACGTTATCAATATATTTTCAATCCAACAAATAACATTCTCAATATATATTCCATCCCATAAATAACATTCTCAATATATATTCCATCCAATAAATAACGATCTCAATGAAAAAACATTTCCCCGCGAAAGACGACCGAATCAGTGCGAGAAATGTCCAGTTCACAGTTTATACACACCATTTTTATATCCGTTTTGGGGTAGATATTCAGCCTCAAAAACTGAAAATAATATTTAGACCTGTTCGAACAATGAGAATGTGACTTATTTTATGGACGGACTGAGTAAAGTTGCCAATTCCAATGAATATTCCTTACCTTGAGTTTGCGATTTTCGTTGTCAGACTCCATTGCTTTGATGTCAACATCCAGAAAGAAATTGTAATCTCGCGAGAGGCTAGGTAAAAAAATTGGAATGGATTTTGAAACATGCGAACGTTACTAATTTTGGGACGGAATTGTATTTGTGTCACGTTCGATAATTTTGAGATTGGTTTTCTCAGCAATTGGTCAATTTAGTCCAAAATATGCATATCATATAACATTTCAGCGAGACAATGATTAAAGTATCTGTTATTGTTTGACAGTGTATTTCCGTGTCACGTGATATCAATATGAAAATTTGAGAGCGTTATCAATTCTTCAGACGGACATACAATCCAAAACGATACTAGATTAACAAATATTTTTTACACATGATCTCTTCCTTCAAGTGCGCTTTTTGTGTTTAATTCAGAAAGACACACGTACATGTTTGTTTTCATTGATTTTTTATAAGCGTGCAGATAATTCTCTTGATAACCTGGCTGCTCAAAGAAGGGCTACATTATTTCGGGTGTTACCGTCCGTCTATAAAGGAATAGGGATAATTTTTTGATTGTTCAATTGTAGTACTCCTTCAAACATAATTGGGATTATATTGTTTTATTTATTTACAAATAACTTATATAAAAATAAAAATAAATTAGTTTGGTTTAATTTTGTATGTAACTTAAATTAACAGGTGCTTTCTTGACATGCTATATTTTATCCCAATACCATGCAAAGAGCCATATACGTATGTACGATATGTATATACGTTAGATCAATAAATTAAATTGCAGCACCTTCAAAATCACTTTGAGTGGTTTGGACGGAATGTTACGTTAAAACTTAGCCATATTCACTTTCTAAAAACTTTAAAAAAAAAAAGACAATTGATCAATTCACCGCTACAACCGTATAGCCAGAATAGTATTCTATCAAGCAATGTCAGGTTTCATAGTAAAAAAATAAAGAGGGCATGTGTATGACACTCCCTAAGAGCCTTGATATCCATGGGCTTATACACTACTGTAAAATTTATGACATAAGCTTGTTAAATCATAAAAATGAAAAAGATATTATCAATTATGAACATTGGATTTATTCATTTTATCAAAGAATTAGCCAGATACGCAAAATAGTAGGCAAATAGGGAAAGTCAGGACGAACATATTTTAAACCCTACTAATATTATTCTGTCGATATGGCTTCCACACATCAAATAAGTACCCCAATTATTCAAAAGCTCTGGATAAAATGAGCTCTGTTAATCTTTAATTGAGTTTGAGTTAACCTACCGTAATTGCTTTTAGATCAAACGGCTTGGGTCATTTTTTACACTGTATTTAACAGAAATATCAAACTTAAGCATTCTACGTTTCATCTTCAAACATTGTAACAATAGCTTGATAACTGTGATAGATCGTCCTGCAGAGCGGCGCCCAGCGCCCCGCCCTCTGCAGAAATATTTAGTGGTAAAGAAGAATCTTATCTATAGAATCTATGAGCTATCTATACTAACCTGTAACACCTGTTAAAAAATCTTGAACATTGAGTACTTAGTTTGGACCAGTATCTCGAGAATTGTCAGTTTCAGACTCGATAATCTTGACCACAAAAATCAAGTAACTTCTGATAGTCCATTTGATACCCCATCACGATAAACCTCTCAACTATTCAATCAAGAAAAACAACTCAAGTTTAAACGTTTATTTACTAGAGATACAGAGGTTCAAGATTAATAAAATGACGATTTTTTTTGTCAAAATGCTTTCTTTCAACTTTTAATCAAATTGACAGTTAACTGGTCATCTCAAATCAGACCCAGGTGCTGTGAAATCTTACCCGAAATGGGTTGACTGACACTAATTCCAATGTTGAAATTCCTAGTCTCTACTTGTGACCTTGGTCAGTATTTCTATTAAAACCAACAATTTTAGTCAATTTGGTGAGAAGTTGTTTTAAAACAAATATTGCTTTATGTTTGTATAATTTCAGGTTAGAGAAGTAAAAAGTATGGCAGAAATTGAAGTACCCCCAGTTAGAGCACCTGAACCAATTACAATATCAGTTGTTGCTGCACGAAATTTAGTGAGTTGGGTTTTTAGAAAGCCATGTGCTTGCAAATTATTTTTTGTTTGTGTCAGGTTGGAAATTTTTTTTTTTTTTGAAAACTGTACACCAATCTAAAATAATTTAATCTGAAAGATTTAACTATAAAAATCCAGCTGTTAATTTTTAAATGCCAAAAATATTTGAATACATTACGTAAGAGAAATATGTCTTCTACATATTCTCAAGGTTTTAACTGATAGTATCAAGAAGATACATAGATGTAAATAGCATACCTTAGAAATATTTTCAGGTATAATTTATGACGATTTTGTTATGAAAACTTTTTACAAAAAAGCGGAATACCCCTTTAATCTCCGTGAATATTTCTCAATACTAGAATATCTTTAAATCTCGCAAAAATAATTTAAGTTAGTTTTAGCTTAACATAACTCATTCCAAATTTATTAAGCTTTTAATATTAAAATATGAAATTTTGTGGCTAGTCAATTTTAATACAGATTCATGCGGTTGGTGTAAAATTCCAAATTCCGAGCTCTTCGAATTGTCCGATTTGGGTTAGAAAATGAGACTTAAATTCAGCCAAAGTACGTGCATATATTTGTGTATGACAAGGATGTATAGTTTTTAATTGAGCCAGGCTGGAAATTCTGTTATTATTAAGAAACAGTATTGCTAGTGTTAGTATGAATAAGAGTACTAGAATTTATGTTACATGAAGAAACATAGTTGTGATTATGAAATATGTTTTAAAATATTCTTTCGCTGTCAATCACAAACTTGTGGACATCCTTTGGGACATCTTTAGTTCCGATTGCTATGTCTTTTCTGACCCATTTCGGATAGTTTGTAGAGTTCTGGAATTTGGAATTTTACACCCACACTAACATGGAGTCTAAATTTAGCTACACCGGGAAGATTTGACTTTATTGTATTCGACAAGCCTTTCTATGTTTCTAGTTATTTATTAGACACATGTACATGTTTTGTATTATAGAGAGGTCAAAAAGGTGATGCTGTGAGTTTTGTTGTAAAAGCAGAATTTGGTGAGAAAATATTGGGAGAGTCACAGAAAATTGACAGCACAGGTGAAGGCGCAGCAGAAATAAATTTCAACGCTGTTTTAAATTGTTGCTATGACGATCCCCAAGCTTTGGATGAAATAGCACACAAACCAGTTGTCTGTAAGTTTAGTTGTATTATTATATAGAAATGTTGATAATTTTATATCTTTTCTTGATCAAACTGAATACATAACTATATAGAGATTTTAATGTTTGAATTTGACAGCATTTTAAACATTGACTTATATTGTCTTACCACATTTAATTGAACTCCAAGTAATAAAAGTAACGGCCGTCTGGTATACCGGCTGCTCGAGTATATATTGCGTAAGTGTGTGGCCGGTAAATCGGTCGATAGGTTGAAAGGGTTAACAGATAACAGAATAATTAATGACAATTGTTGATGCTATTGGGTCCTAATTCCAAGTAATAAGCAGAATCTTGTAAAATCATGGATGTAAAACACAAAACAAAATATCAAGATCTGCATTTCACCTCCTTCAAGTTTGAATTTGATTGGTCATAGAGGCAAATATGAAAAAGTCGACTTTTTGCCAAATACACCAATTTGGCTCAAGTTTTGCCCTTTTCTGATACTGAATAATATTGTCCTTGATCTTGAAAACTCGTTTTATTATTCAGTACTGCCCTGAAGATTGAATATTTGTCTTCTAGAGTTTTCACGAGCTAAAGATTGAACATGTTGTGCTACAGAGTTCAAAAGAAGTGTATGATTGAAGGTTGAATATTTCATACTGGTGATTGTTACTGTACTGCTAAATATTTATGTTCAAAGTCAAAGCTGCCAGTGGGCGTATATTACCTTGCCTGGCAAGCTATCTTATATAAGCTTATGTATTCAAAATATCATTGAACCCTTCTTGTTTCAACCATGACATTGACCTAGAAGGGTAATTGGAATACCTCAATTGGGTCATCCTAATCAGAATCTCTTATTGTATTTTAACTCTCTCAACATTGACTTTTATCTTGGTCTTTTTGATAACCTCACGATCATGGTCATTCATTGAAATTTTTTTGCGTGTGCAAAGAAAATTAGTGTTCAGTAAATTGGACTGACATGCGTGTTGTAAAAGAACAGCTACAAGTCAAAAGTGCTTGGTGTTTTTTTCCTGATCTAAGCATGGATGAAGACAAAGATGACCTTCCAGGAGCGAGGCTTATGAACAAATTATGGACAATGTGGGTCATTTAAAATTTTAGTACAATTGAAACAGAAAACCCAACAATGGAAGCTTTTGAAAGGGACAAACCCTCTACAAGTATTTTAATTGATTTAGAAGATCAGTTTAACTCTATTTTGATAAAAATATTGAACATTTATTAAGAAACTGTCCTTGTTGTTCGAAAAGCATTTGATAAACACTTAATTGGAACAAATTAATTACAGATTTGGACAAGTAACGGTCACTAAAGGAAGGGCCCCCATCAAAAACAAAAATTGTTAAAAAGAAGTTGATGAATAAAAGTTGCATATTTTGTGCTGGTGATAGTTGCCATTCTGCCAAATGTTCTTCATGAAATATGGAGCATATAAATTGATGTGGCCTCATGTCCATCATCCGCTTGTCCGCAATTGTACAATTCTTGACAATTTCACAAAGTTTTCGTCAAAATTTGTTTATTTTATCACTAAAAGATGAACCATATTGAAATTAGAAATATGGAAAAATATGTTTTATGTAAGTTATTCGAGTTGTTCATGGAAGTGCATTCAATTTTTGGCTTGTGAACACTCTTGATATTTCTTTTGACAAAATAATGTGAAATGAAATAATAGAGTTTTACGTCCTACTCTTGTGTTAATTGGGCTAATGAAGAAGGGCAACACAATGCTGTGCAATGAGGGAAATTTTGCCAGGACAACAGCATTAGCCTGCTCTTTTTCAATTTACAACTGTCAAGGGTTCTTTAACTTGCACAGCCTGTAGCACACGGGACCTTGGTTTATTGTCCCATGCGAACGACTAGATGCTCTTTCCATGTCAGCTGCTCGACCTTTGCCCCCCCTAGAAAAATGTACCGGTCGCTTTTATAAAATACACCTTTTCTTTTTCCTGAGTCAATAGGAGCGGCAGAGTCTGAGTGAATGGCCAACAATGGTCATTCTGGTCAGGCATTTTATGGTGGAGTAAATGCACCAGTCAGCTGCTCTTGCGTTGTCGATCATATGATGAGTATTTCGATATTTTGATTTTACGTAACGAAAAACAAGGTCATGGCTTTCAGGGCTGCGTTATGCGAAATGGTTCAACAAAATACTAAGTATTCCTATCTGTAGGCCTACTTAAGAACATACCCGACTACATTTAAACTGAAACGGCATAAGAAATGTAACGTATTATAACTTGTGTGTTTTAACAAAAATAATCTCAAATCTAAAATACTCTGTGAAAGTCAATTTCCCGACGTTTAATCGTCTGTCAAGGTGCTTTGCTGCTAAATTGCCCCCCTCGATTGCACGTTTGCCCCCCCCTCGCACCAACCACCTTTTTATACGCCCACATGAATATGTGGTCGTATATTGTCGTCGCCCATGTCTGTCGGTCCGTCGGTCAACATTTCTTGTGAGCACTATAGAGACTACAGTTTTTATCTGATTTTGATAAAACTTGGTGTGATGCTTAAGATTGATAAGATCTCGGTCAAGTTCGAATTTGACATATTTTCGATTAACGGTTTTTGAGATATTGCCCTTGACTTAGAACGCCTTGAAATTTGTTAAAAATAGTTCGTGAGCAGGATTGAAGCTACAGTTTTCAACCGATTCTGATTAAACTTGGTGTGATCATTAGAATTCATAAGATCTCGGACAAGTTCTAACTTGACGCATTTTCGATGAACAGTTTTTGAGTTATTGCCCTTGACTTTGTAAAAACGCATCAAAATTTGTTCATGAGCACAATAGAAGCTACAGTTTTCAACCGATTCTGATGAAACTTGGTGTGATCATTGGAATTGATAAGATCTCGGACAAGTTCTAACGAGATATTTTTGATGAACATTTTTTGAGTTATTGCCCTTGACTTTGTAAACACGCATCAAAAGTTGTTTTTTGCCCTTGATTAGAGCTGTGTGATTTAATTGTTTGTTGTATTTGGGTTATTGATATTGATTTTAAAAAATTTTGTGGAATTATTCAGCATGAATAATTTCTTCAATATGAGAAAATTCGTACTTTAGTCACTAAAGACTGTTTTATTATTTCTGACAGCTGCGAGTGGGCGTATGTTACCTTGCAACGCAAGCTATCTTTGATAATCCTTCGATGTAAAAATTTTTTGTGAATATTAAGTTTCTAACACTTTTTCAACTTTTTTCAAACTATTCAGGTGGGATTTTTCTGGTAATAGCGAAATTGAAGGGGACATAATTCATTCAAGTTGTCGAACTCGCTTTACCTAATCATTGATTCACATGCCATTTCAAATATGAATATTCTGTTGTAAAGATTATTAAAGATATTTTTTTCATTCTTCTTCTGAAAACTATATAAAACTCAAACATGGACTTTGAGACTAAATTATCAGAAAGCTAATTTGTTACTAAAATTTTGTGTCTCGTTATTCAAACTTTTTCCCGCAATAATTTGTTTGAAGGAATCTTATTGATAGAAAATTAATGACGAGAATATGGGATTGTGAGTGAAACGGCTAGATGATAATTATCATCGTACCGTTACTCCAGGAACATGGGAAATAAGGGATATAGATAACAGACAGTTTAACTGTCAGATAAAAGGCTAAAGTCACCAGACAATGATCAATGGCTGCCCTATTTCTACACTTGAATATAAATCAGTAAGTTTACTTGTTTCAAACTTATAAACATTTTAAAATTCATTTCAGTGACAATTGTTGAAGTTTTACCAAAAGAAAAGCGACAGAAAGAAGAAAAAACTTATTTATTGGGGCAATGTACAGTAGATTTATTACCCTTAGTTAGAGGTGAGAATATTTACTACTATGTTTGATTCTGTGAATATGAGCATATGCATACATCGAAAACGAAAACAACAATTGACCCAAGTTTTTTACCCAGAGCTATAAATCAGCAGTCTTATTTGGATGATAGAATTATTAAATATTTATTATTCCATTGAAATATTAACAACAATTGTAAATTTAAATATTGATAATTCTATCATCCAAATAAGACTATTGATTTATAGAACTATATTGTTAGGGGCGGTGAACTTGATTGACAGATATCGGTGAATGAAGCAATAACGGTTTCGGGTATTTTTACCCAAAAATAGAAAATTTTGGCGTATTTTATCAGAAAAGATAAACCAATGTAAATATAAGGAATGAATGTGGATCTTGTTATCGTTATGGGGAAATAAACGCTGGTTTATCATGTGACAAGACGTACATGACCGGCTTCGTTGGGAAATATTTATTTTCAATTTGATAAAACATTTACTCCATCTATTTACATATTGTATGTATCAGCTCACATCAGATTTTTAAGCTAATTGTGCTTCATTGTTTATGTTTTCAGGAGAGACTAAAGCTAACTACACATTAATTGTGAATACCCTGCCTGGTTCTCCTTTAGAAAACTCAGATATTCCAAAGGTAAGATTATAATTGTTTTTTTATACACCAACATAAAAATGCAGTATAATAATCTAATCTGCTATAAACAAAAGAAGTTTGTAAGTCAAACATTTTTCATGCACACGTCAGCCATATTGAATCCAGAAAGAGGCTCATAACACAAACATAAAGATAGTGGACCACAGCCATATACGCCCACCACGGCATGCAGATGGTAAGTATTCAAGATTTTGGGGGCAAGGGCAATAACGGTCGAAAATAGCTCAAATTCAAACTTGATCTTCGTTTTATGAATATGTATACACATTCCGAATTTCATTTGATTCCATCAAAAAATCTAAAAAAATTTTAGAGCGTTTACAAGTAAATGTTCACGGACCGATGGACGGACAGGGGTGCTGACAATATATGTCCACATAGAGAGATGTGGGCGTATAATAAGGTAACTTAATGTCACTGTGTCACTGCAAAAAATCATCATCTAGGCATTTTTAATGCTTTCTTCTCCATTCTGAAATTGTACATTATTAAAATCGGAATTGATTTGGCTATTTAATGATACCTTCAGATGAAGTTTACCCTTACACATAATTTCTTATAAAAGCCAGTTTTATGCTCATTTTCTCGCTATTGATCGGTGATCGTTGCCATCTTTTCAATAGGTGAAGTAATTTGCTTTGCGAGCCTCAAAAGGAGTCTAATGCTCCTCAGAAAAGATACATACACACATGAAATGTCAATTAAAATTCAGTGATTTTCCATTGTAGTTAAAGTTTAGGTACAAAAAACACAGGACTTGTATATTTATTGGTATAATAGACACATTCATGATAAAAACTGAGGAATTTGTTTAGCCTTATTGATAATTCACTGTATTCATTGTGTATAAAATTATTAGTTTATTACTTAAAATCACTCAATATTTATATTAATCTTTTTTAGGCTGAACTTGATGTCAATCTATCAACACAAGAACCTCTACTTAGTGATAAACATCTAAAAGATGGTAACTTAATGAAAATAACAATAGAGAATTTGTTATCACCACCAGAATCTTGGATGTTATCTGGAGCTCAATATTATTTTGCTGCTGCTTTACCTATTCCAGTTACTGCTGATGTAAGCATTTTATCCAGTTGAAGATGGGTTTCCTTATTTTTTAGTGTCAAATTAAGCAAACTATTTGATAAATTGATGTTTCTAATAAATTATTATGTAATCTTAATCATATCATTATGTTCTTATTGCATATAATTAAGAGATTTAACCAATCATAAATGGCAATGTATGAACAGTCTTGATAAACAAAAAAGTACTTTTTGACCTTTCTTGATCGGTCGCTGATTGGAATTCTGCTGGTAATTCTCTTCTAATTCAGCTAATTATGAATTGATTATGGACATGTGAGACAAACCAGTATTAGTACCAGTCATTAGAACACCTTTACTTTCTATTCATATAAGTATTAGAATTTTCATTTTCTTAAATGAAAATAATGCAACCCATCATTTTACATGGGTCCATTTCAACATCACACAGAGAAATACTGTTTTATTACTTGGTTTTTGAGAAGATTTTGTTCAAAAAAAGTGGATTAAAAAATCCTAGAAGATTATTAGTAGACAAGATGATAAAAATAAAACCTTGAGCCAAGAATTATATTATTATTTTTGTTTACAACTATATATACAATATATCAGGGATCCCAGACTTCCGCTATTTTTCTGGCCAAAGTAGTAATTTTATTTTACTCCTCCCAAAAAAAAAGCGAAAAATATTGATTTCTGGTTGAAAAATATCAGAATTCGTATGAATCAAGTTAGCCATATAGAATATGGTTTATCTTCAAGTAGTATAGAAGACACTCTTTTTTATGATTTTGTGAATTTGATTAGTTGCATATATATGTGATTAGGTCTTGGACTAGTTTGAATTATAACTGATGAAATAAGCTTATTTTTACATTAAAAGTTATTCAGATGACATTTCAACAAGTACAAAGAAAATGACATTGTTTAAATTTGTGACAAACATGGTAGATGTATTTCATGTTCTTTGGAAAGTTATCTTCAGAATCTTGCTGTGATTTATTTTGTTTATTTCAAGTAAATTTATGTCAAGCCGTCTGAATTTTCTTTTAGAGAGAAGCACCAGTTGTTTTTGCAAATGGTCAGTTGAAGCCAGGGTCAGAAAAAGAATTACCCAATAAAAATAAGAAGTGGGGTTCACCTGGTACAGCTCAAGGAAATTCCATTTTTATACCAAATAGGTAAGATCAATGATGATTTAAATGAAAGCAAATGAAAAGTGGCCATTCTTGTTTCTTTGAATTAGCCCGAAAAATCGTGACTAACCCAGTTCCTCAGAATTGATATATGGATGTGTTATCGTCACAGGTAGGACCAGACATAAAACGTGACTTTTTATAGGAGTTGAGCCTGCTCCATTTCACCTTGACAAAAGCCAAATTTGTCATAACATTTGTTATCTATACAAACCTATTAATGAGTCTATCAATACACTACTGAGCTATATAGCCTGTTTGGTGCTGATGCCCTTTAATGCATTTCATTTCATCATACATTACTGGATATTCTATGATGTCTCTGTGCCAAACACAGTACAACAATACAGTCAAAAGATAGGCTTTTCCCACCTTCACACAACAAAAAGTGGTGCATGGCAACCTTATATCATGCAGTCCACAATCTTGCATAAATTATACAAAGGATTTGGGTGAAACTTGGTGAAATGGTTTACTATCGCCAAGAAGAAAGCTATGGTAAATTAGAAAACTTTTGTGTGCTATTTCTTTTAATCTCATTCGATATTCGATATGTGTAGAATGGAGGCAAAAGTGAGCAGCTATTTGAGAGATATATTAAATTAGCTTATCTTGAACTTTGTATTTTTTTTATATAGCTATATAGTTAATGAACCTATTGAAGATGAAGATGGAGACTATAGAGCTAAGGATGACAGAGAATTTCGTCATATAGCAGACGCAGAAAAGAATAGAGTTGCCTGGACAACAGAACGCAGATGTTTCTTAGAATGTACTGCAGCTAAAAGGTGATAATAATGATTACCATCATATATTTGTATATGTTCTTGCCTTTCCATGTCTTTCAGTCTAAATCTTGATCAAGTCTTGTCCAGATTCTTTGTACAGAAACCTCTGAAGAAATTATATCTGAGAGAAGTACCTGTTTCTTAAGGAAACTTGGACTTGAACAAAGCATTTCTTTTTACTCTTTTTTATTTGCTCTTGATCAAGATTTTTTTTTATTATCGCTGTTTGATGCAGAATTGTGCAAATTCAATTTATGTGTCTTAAGTTCGAATATAACGATGTTTCTAAAAGTTTCGTACTAATGTGCAACAACTCTATTTTTAGCTTTCAAGATGAAATAGCCAAAAATCGCTTATGGCCTGTAGAAATTATGAGATTGGCTCAGGCACCAGGAGCTAAAGGTAAAAAGGTAAGTATCAAATTTAAAACTCATGACCAATCTTTACTTAGTTACTCAATAGTTGTTAGAATGTCAAATTTAAGACACAATGGTGCCAAGAAGCAAGAATTGAATAATGTCATGAGTCATTGTGTCTGCTACACTTAGGAGCTTCAAGTACACAGACATATCCAGATATGAATCTACTGGTTACATTACTGATGGAAATACAGGTGGACTGCTCTTTTGAGATATCAAGGAAGATGACAACTAAACTCTGTCCTTACCATGTCAACTGTTATATTGACTTGATTTCACTAATGCACCGTCATGATGTATGTTCTCTATAGCTGCTACAAGCGGTATGGATAAGATAAGACACAGTTTTGTGTTTTTTTTAAAGCCCGAAGCCATTTTGATTGTCAAGAATGATGTTAGGGTTAGGTAGGGATGGCCATACATTTTTTTAAAACCCATTTTTGTACTGTCGTGGTGCGAATAGCCACAGCCTTTCATTAAATAACAGAGTCAAAAGAGTTAAAGTGTAGCAAGATTGTATTTCTGGTGGTCATTATGTTCAGAAAAAAATACAAATCAATTGAATGAAAAATGTTAAAATCTGATTATTATTTATATTTTACTAGGAAGATGAAGGTGGAATTAATTTTCATGGTATAGCATTTGTCAACCTTGCTCCATTATTGTATCCAGGAGGTTTGTATTCTACTTTATATCATCATATCACTGTGTATCAAAGCATTATCTTGTAAACATTTCTTTTCTCCAGCGATTTCTTAGGGTAAACGAAAAATACCTACTTGTAACCAACATAATGAATTGTAAAGTAAAGGTAGCTCTAAGGAATGCATTGGGTTTACGCTGAGTTTAACAGGTTACCGATCACAAAGTCGCACATTATTGACAACTCATGATGTACAAGACTACTGTTTAGATCAGTAAGAAATGAATAGACCTGAAAGACGAGTATGCCCCCTATTGCCGAACAAGATAAAGATGACTTTTTGCGTTTTCACTGGTTAAGTGAAAGCTGACTTTAGAGTTAGCCGATAAATTGCCGAAGGCTAAAAGAGAAGTTTTCAGTTTCCGACCCGTAACGGTTTGACAATTTGCCCAGTGGAAACACACGAAAGCTAGCTTAAAGCCGGCTTTTTCCCCTCAGTGGAAACACAGTTTATATGTGCTGAAAACTGTTGCCCCTCCATCTACAGAATGTCTGTCATACCTTGAGTATTGCGAAGCCATGCCCATCACATTCGTTCTTCTAGTGTGATTACATCATTTAAGTGTAATAGAATCAAGAATTCAAGTCTTTTTGAATTAACAAGATAATGGCAATCTGACAAAGAATTGGGCTTCTGTTTCTCTGAGGAGCATAATAATAAAATAGTATATATATATGGTATAGTTATAATGTATATCAATGAAATTAGAAATATTAAAACAGAACCTAAACAAACATGTTGTTCCTACTCAGAGTTTCATGCTATGAGATCTTCAGACAACTGACACTTATAATTCAGCCTGCGTCCCTACTGAAGTTGGACAAATAGAATTTATTCTCATGTCAACATTTCGAGACAAGAAAGTGTGCTTAGGGGCATTAGTGATTGAAAGCTTTTCAGTTAACACAGGTTACATCATTTGGTTTTATTTATGTAGGGTTTTAGCTCTACTATCAATGGACCAAGATGATTTGTAATTATAATTTTTCAATTTCAGTTAACAAATATGTTTTGTTATTGTGATTAATGAAATTACGTATATTGTATATACAAATAGAATATTCTTAATAAAGAATTGTATTTTTAATAGAGCATTGAAATGATTGTCTTAAAATGATTTTGTTTAATAAGAGTATCTGATAATGCTATCTCAATCAAATCCCCATGTAAAAAGTATGCAATAATACGTATACATTACAGTAAAGTACAATTTTTATTTTATTTACAGTGAAGAAAATTAGAGGAGCTTATAAAGTTTATCCTTACAGTGATCATATTTTACATGAAAAGGTATGTATTTATCAAATTATATTTGAACTAGATTTATGTAATAGATAATTAATGTTTCCAAGAAGAGAATTGTATATTAGGAAGAGTTAAAATTCTTCTGATGTAATGCAGTGGTTCTCAACCTTTATCAGCCTTCACACCCCTGAAGCAATCAACTGGACCTGTTTTAGGACTAACAGAGTGGTATTTGTATTATCAATGAGATATTGGTAAAGTGGGAATTGGTCATAATCAGATGTTCTTAGTTATTTCCCTTGATGTAGTAATAAGTTCTTTAATATGATAAATCTGTATTGAACCTACAGAAGACAAACTTGCTTGGCAATCAATTTGATGTTTGGTATTTAGAGGACGATATCCCCCTAATGTTTAATTGTTGAACAAAAATGGGAATATTTTGGTCATTATACCATGTACCGCTTTATAAAAATCATGAAAAGAAAGGTTTGATTGTAAATTTTAGACTAAAAGAAGAAGTGGTATAACAGACGATGCAGCTAAGATTGCCATGAATATTTTACATCATAATTCCTCTTCTCCTTCTCCAAAAAAAGCAGCAAAAGATAAAGAACCTGAGAAAAAAGAGATCAAGAAAGGGGTAGGTCAACAGGTAGTAGTTAACACATTCATCCATGAAATAAAAGAGAAATGAGAGTGTATAAAAATTATTGACAATTTTAAAGGGACATTCTGCTATTTTTGTATGTCTGAATTTGCGAAAAACTATATACCAAAATCTAAAGAAATGTGCCCTTTAACGTGTCTGAAACGTTTTAACTAAAAAAATCCAGGCATTAATTTTTAAAAACTATTGTATGGATTTGAGTAAAATAAATGCCTAATTGTAGAGATATATGTCTCTTATGTATTCTAAAGGTTTCAACTATTAATATTGAGCCAAAACTAGGTCAAACTACTTAATTAACAATTAGTACTCTCCGTTTTTAATTACCCCTTTTAAAAAAATTCATTTTGATCCAATAAATACATAGATATAAATAGCATACTTTAGAAATATTTTCAGGTATAATTGACAACGTTTTTGATAATGATTAAAGGGATATTCCATTTTCTTGTAAACTGTTGTGCTACTGAATTTTGAAGATAGCTTTTACAAATACTTAGTTTCGAAAAGCGATTGAGTAATTTGGCAGTTAACAATCATTTATGCAAAAGTGTATAATTAGATATGATTCACTATCTTTTGATTGTTTTGTCAAATTGGCATATCAATATCAAGACGGTGACCAGTCATTAAGGTGGCGCTCGATTGAAAGGTTCTGAATAGGTTCAGTCTGGAATGTGCAGAACTCACTAATCGAGAGACCATCCACTGCATGGTGATTCACCAAAGATTCTTCAGCATCTAACTCTGCTGATGATAGCAATTTGCTTTTAAGAAATCAATTGTTGAAAATGCAAACAGAGATTCAAATTAGTACTGGCTTTGATGCAGCATTCTTGATGTTATATTTATACTCCATTTAGGCTCTGTATTGCCAGAAAACATCGGATCAAAATTGGACTAAGGATTTTTTTTATAATTTCAGACTTCTCAGACATTAAAGTCTGATACTGGTTCAGAATTGGATGGTCAAGCTCCTATTAATGCTGAAGGTCAAATGTATGTAGAAGCAAGATCATTTATTATGTTAGAGATAGAGTTAGATCATCCTCTTATACCAAAACGTAAACCAGAAGAACTAGCTAGAAAGTAAGTTATCATATCGTGGGTGACTGCTTGAAACCTCGTATATGCCATATTTGGTCATTTTGACTTTTTGGTACCGTTTGAAAGCTCGTAAAAGCGCGGATCTTGTGATCAAAACCTCGTATTCTTAGCTTGATTGTAAATAACTCAAAAAGCGCTTATCAAATAACACGTATATAAACAGTCACATATCATTATACGAGGTTCAATGTTCCTTTTCTGTGGATGAAAATGAGAAACCTTGTATACTGTATTACTATACGAGTTTTTGGTTCAATAGGCCGGAGATCTCAAGTTGCTATACAAGGTTTATATTTTCCAAGAATGAAAACCACATATAGCGGTAACAAAAATAATAAAAAAGATTTTAACAAAATACGCGTACAAATAGTTTTTTGCGTTTTTCTCGAAAAGTAATTCCGCGTCAGATATCCTTTTACGAGGTTTCAAGCGGTCACCCACGATATACTATTATTATTATTTTACATCAATAAGAAAGAAAGAAACAACTCTATTTTACAAGAATAACAACTTAGGTTCACAAACTTTTGGGCAAGCATATAGTGTTTATACACCCACATTATGAATTGGCCATATATTGCTGTTGCCCATGTCTGTCTGTTCATATTTGCATGAGAGCAGATAAAAACTACAGTTATGTTCAAATTTTCAAAAAACTTCGGATAAGTTTTCCAAATTATATTGTCTTATATCTCAAAACATATTGTATAATAGTAACATATACCTTGACAATATCTCACACTAGGTGAGATCTCTGACAATTGATGATTTGTTGATTATTGTTTTAGTTTAAAAAACTAATAGAAAAACTTATAAATTTATAAAGTTTTTAAAGGAACAGGTGTGCCCTTTTTGGGGGTTGATTTTAGTCTTAAATATATATATAGTCTTCAGAAGTACTAAAAATGTACGAAAAGACATTTGTACTAGGAATTTGTACTTACTATTTTTATGTCTTTTCTATATATCACAGAGTATCTTAAATTGACGAGTCATCATTTTAACATCCAAACTCAAATAATTCTGGACACAAATGAGTTTGAAGGCTCAATTTAAACGATGAGCTGTGAACACTATTACTATTTTGCTCAGCTAAAAAATTCCAATTTTTGAGACTAAAGAATGCTGATGAAGTGAAATCTACATGGTATTAAAGGGATAGATTTCCCATTTTCGGGGATCAAGCATACTTTGGTTTCAAAAACTGGTATTGGTCAGCTAAACCAATCAGTACTATTATTCACAGCTTTGAGCCTTCTCAAATGTATCCATAATTATCTGTGTGTGAAAATTTAAAAGACAATTAGCTTTTCCATGATTTTCGATTTTGAAGATAAGTTAATGAAGTCACTTATATTCTGTGGTCTCAATCTGTCCCACAGAGTCAGAGACTATATCAACAAGACATTCAACTTTTGGTTACCGCTCTTTCTAGAAAGAAGATAAGCTTGTGAACGAAATTAATGAAAAGTGAAATTTCTTGTTTGAGGTCTATTTGAAGGAATCAACCCTTGAAAATGAGGAATCTGGTACTTTAAGACCATTATATCTGTTTGATATCCAGAGCTAAAATAAATTTTGTACTTACTTATTTGATTTTTAAATAGAGTAGCTGAATATATTCCACCAAGACCAATGTTTCCTAAACGTACAGATGGAGCAGCTAGGGTAAGTCTTGTTTTTATCATGTTTGTTTAAGTAACATATTATTTTTGCCTTACTGTTTAACCGTGTGTTGTGTTATAGGATACCATCCATACTATTGTGGATGTTCTATATCTGGACCAGTAAAACTCTCTAGAAGGCACAATTCTTGACTGATTTTGACAAAACTTGGTGAAATTGTTTAATATCACTCAGAAAGATGAACCTAATTGAAAATGTAACAAATCTAGAAAATATATAAAATTGCCTTTTTTTTTTATTGCTTTCAATTTTTTAGCATGTTACCACTCTAGAAGATACAATTCTTATAAGATTTTGATGAAACTTGGTGAAATTGTTTAATATCACTCACCCTGTTGCAATTCCGAAAATTGTAAAAATACAATATTTAATATTTCGCCTTTTACACTGTCCATATTTAGCATGTATACACTCAAAAAGGAACAACTATAGGCAAATAGGCTTAAGGGAAACATGTATTATTGCTCTTGTTCTTGACTTTCTCAAGAAGTCACAATTTTTGATGGAATCTTGGTGACATTGGTCATTATCGATTAAGAATGAACGTTTTTATGAGTTATTTACTTTAACTAATCTTGCCACCTACAACTTTTATTAGTCTAAACAATTCTGTAGGCAGAGTTCTGGCCTTATTTTAACAATAAGTGGATGAATATATTGAAAATCACAAAGTTCAATAAAAATTGAATACTATTTGTTTGTATATATAATACCTTGAGATATTTATTTATGTAGAAAATCTAATATACACTGGTCATTACTGTCAATATTTTAATGTTAATCATAATTATAACTGTTGTATATTGTTAGGCTGTAGAAGATTACCAGGGACAAGTTGCACGTGTTGCTAATCTTATTTTAGATGAATTCAGGTAATAACATAATCTAGTTTTAACATGAATACAATTATACGGATAACATGATGATTCTTTCGTCTTTATCAAGCAATGATGATCATCGTCGAAACGTCGCAAGTTATTTATTAAAGTAATTGTTATCCATATAATTGTGTTCATGTTAATATCATCAATTACTAAATGCCACTCAAGGAAGTAATCTAGTTTTAAATTGAAACTGTCTTCAATCATACCAAATACATCTGCATTAATTTAGTTGATAATACCTGTATTAATGAGTCCAGAGCATAGAAAAACACTCCTGAAACAAGACTGGCTTCATTTTCACCATAATTGTAAGAGAAATGCAGGAAAATAATTATCTCATCTCATCATATGCAAAATTTTTTAGTTCTACACCTTTTCACAATTTGTCAAAATTGTTACATTTCAATTATAGAGTAATATATAATGATGAAGATGGTACAACAGATCCGAATGAAAGTATGGAATCAAAGTAAGATTATATTATATTATATTGTGTTGTTTGTGCTATCATTAATTATGAGTTGTTTGTAATGTTTACAATATTAGCTTGTAAATGTAAGAGCCTTCAGTTGTAATCCGATTTTAGTTTTATCTATGATAAGCAAGTTATCTTCAAACATTTTTCTAGTTATTGCCCTTGACTTATCCGATCTTTTGTTGTGATTCAATTGATCTAAATTTATTATTCATATCAAATACTATATCAACAAATCTAAGATCTCACCAATGTTTATATATAGAGTAGAGCCTTGTTTATCTGTATATTTCTGTCCCTGATGAAATTGTTCGGTTGAATGGATAGTAAGTTATGTCCCTTTCTATTAGGAAACGTGTAAGTGTCACATACGCAACATGTGATAGAATGAGCATACTTTATAGGGCATATACATCATGGAGAACCGATATTGATTATAATTGTACATTTTATTTCAATAACATAGCATGAAAATAACAATAACAATACAATTAATAACTTATGAAAATAGTCATCATTAGTAGTAAGGTTTCATTAGAATTAGAATTTGCTAATTTGTAAACACAAATTGCTGTGTCGTAACATAGTATGATGTGTTTGGTATTATCAACAAGGATTTAAATGGTGGTGATTAGTTAGTTTTTTGTAGTTTTATAGTTATTGATACGGATTTAGTAATATAGATAGATAAATTCTTCAGTTTTTGTAAATGTTTGAATTATGAAAATATAAACCTCGAAAGACTTAAATTCAAAGTTTTTTTGATGAAAGGTTTATTATGTCTTTCTCTTGTTTCAGGCGTCAAAAGTTGATTTATGAATTGAATTCATCAGGAAAATATTTTGCTTTTAAAGAACAACTAAAACACTCAGTGGTGAAGATTGTAAGAGAAAAATATTTGAAAACTACCAACTTTGATGATAGACAAGAATTACAGGTGAGAAATTGAAAGAGAAATTAGGAACAACAAAGCAATTTTTTGTAGAACGAAATCAAAATTGTTAAACAGGCTGTGTAAAAGTCAACTAGAATTAGTTAGATGGTATATGCTGGAGTTCATGTTCAACTGATTATCACAGAAATTACAGCCAACAAACCTGTTTATCTGTTTGACAAAGCGAACCTTAGTCTCAGAAATGGCAATTTTTTAGCTAAGCTAAGCCTATCAGTGATACAACTCATCATCTGGGCCTTCAAATGCATGTGTTTCAACCCGGTTTCCCCTGTCAGTGATGCAGGTAAGAGGGGCTGACATGGAAAAAGCGTCTAGTCGTTCGAATGGGACAATAAATTGAGGCCCCGTGTCCTACAGGCTGTGCACGTTAATATCCCTTGACAGTTGGAAATTGAAAAAGAGCAGGTTAATGACACATTTCCCTCATTGCACCCTGCATGGCGTTGCAGTCTTCATTAGCTCACATGGTACAGAAAAGTGAAACTCCATTCATTTCATTTCATTTCATTTCAAATGCATGTGTGTCCAGAATTATCATGTTTGAAATTTCAATTGAACATGTTTTTTTTTTCAGACATTTTTAAGTGAACTTTATGTGTATCTAGTTGATCAGATGCATGTAGCATTAGGTAATGTATTGGAAATAGAAGATCAACCTCCTGTACCAGAACCAATAACTGATTCAGTACAGTTAAAACATTTTGCTAGAGAAGCTGTAATGAATGAAGATTATGCACTAGCTGCTAAATACTATCAAGAGGTATATATGAGAGGCAATATGTCTTTCTTATATACTAATGGTTTGAAATATAGGAGAAATAATAGTAATTTTGACAATCTGTATCTTAATTTGTGGATGTATATTTCAGGGTTATTCAGATCAATTATCATAAGCACTTTTAAGACAGGATAATCATTATTTAAAATGTCTATTTGTCAATGTTTCATGTAGTCAGGCATTGCTTTTTTATTTCGAGTTATCTTGAGTGATTATTTGATATGGAAAAAAGTGTCCATAGTCATTCGATTGAGACAATATCCGATGCCCGTGTGCAACAGGCCGTGCAGCTTAAAGATCCCTTGACAGTTAGAAATGTAAAAAAGAGTAGGCAAATGCTGTTATCCTGCCATTGCAAACTGCAAGGAGTCTATAATTGGTGCAGAAAAGCAGGTCATAAAACTCCATGTCAATTCATATCAACTGTATTTAAATGTAATTATTGACTCATCTTCTATGCTTACAGAGAATTGCCCGTGAAAAGAATAATGCTGACCACTGGTATGATTATGGTACTTTTAATCTTCATATAAATTCTGTAACCAAGGTATGAAGACATTATTATACAATTTGTTAGTCATGTCAGTTGTAAACACTAAATTCTTGATGAAATCCATATAAATCTAAAGTATTTGAGATGAGGTATGTAATTGTGTTGGTGTTACCTCTTAAACAATGGTGTTTCCTGATCAACTTTGATGGTAGTTTGAAACCTTGGAGACACCTGTAGACCCTAGTATTAAATAAGATTTATCAATAAAAGTCATTTCAGTTCAACACATTGAACTATGGATTAAATAATTGAAATTTTTATTAGATTTGCATTATAGTGTTCGAATTGGACAAATAAAAAAAATGACCCCTCTGAACCAGCTTTGGCTCCGCTGGCTGAAGTTCTGACTTTAAATAGATAAAAAAGCCCTTGCAAAGTCAACAAGCTTGTAATGTTTTTTTCTATTTTAGGCAGAAGAATGTTTTAAAGAATGTATATCAATAAATCAAAGGCATTTATCTGGGTAATATCTTTTTTATACCTTCATATTGAAATAAGTTCTATAAACTATTGTCTGTCTATCAATTTGTGAGTCATGTTGTATTTGTTACCTAAATACACATTGTGCTCCAAAGTCATGTTTTCTACTGGAGAACTTTGGTAGTTAAAATTATCACAGCAAATGATAAATGATGTCATATGACAAGTTGGAAGATTTCATTGTTAGGCAATCAATCTGAATTATATAATGGACACACATGATATCATTTTTATTCAAATAAAGTATATTCTTCTCTTAGTGTGCATTAGTCTGTACTGATTTTTCAAATGTGTCCCGAAAAGAATATAGTGGTAAATTTTACAACTTCCTAGTAGGAAACTTCCTATTCCCCAGAGGTGACAAATGCAGCATTATAGTTTTCCTTTGAAATTTAGTCAAACTGTAAATAAAAATTATAATGTCGTGACTTTTAAATGCTCAATTGTTGAAGTTTTGTCTGAATATATCTTTAAATGACTTGTAAATTTAATTTAAGAATTTCAACAACCATTTTAAATTTGTAATAAAGCAATCTATCATGTTGGCATATAGCACAACACAATTAGACGGGCTTGTTATTATATGAGGTTCAATGTTCCTTTTCTGTGGATGAAAATGAAAAACCTCGTATACTGTATTATTATAGAGTTTTTGGTTCAATAGGCCGGTGATCTCAAATTGTTATACGAGGTTTATATTTTCAAAGAATGAAAACCATGTATAGCAGTAAAAGAAATAAAAAAGATTTTAACAAAATACGCAAATTCGTAACCAACCTACCACAATAACCTAATAATATATGTTCAAAAAGAAGTCAAATGTGTTGCCTATAGACTTAAAAAAGGCAAGAAAACCTCTTTACAATCTCTTTGACTCTGGCAGATTATTTCCTTTTATTCCTAGCACAAGAATAATCAAGTATGATTGAAGATTATAAAGGTGTGAATACTAGACTAGAATATTTATTTTGTTTTAGGTTGTTAATGTATGGTGTTGTTTGTAATCTCTTAGATAGAAATGAAGCAGCTGAAACATTCTTTGAGGCTGCGACTAATGTTGATCCAAAATGTATAAGAGCATGGACAATGCTAGGTAGGTTTCTACACAATAATTAATAGTGATACTTATCCAATATTTTCTATCATGACCTTCACATACGTTTATTTTTTAATAGCTTCGTAGTTCACCACATAGCCTGATAAGTCTGGTCTCTACTTGTTCTTCGAATGTTATTTATGGGTAGGATGTGTAGCAGGGCTCTTGATTTGGCTCTGTATGCCGAATATTACCAACGGGGCTGCTCAAATGACCGACGGTCAATATACTCTATAGGACATCAAGTAAAAGGTGTTCAGCTCAAATAGTCTAATTGCCTTACGAGCATTATATGGTAGGCTTGATTTTTCCATGAGCGATTGTACAGTTATTGCCCTTGTTATGGCCAAAATACATCAAAATTGTTTCTGAATGTGATGGAGATAAGTTATTATTAGAATTTTAAGAAACTTTGTATTCTTGTGTACATTGATAAGATCTCAGGTGGGCTTGTTAAAACCTATGTTAAAACTTGCTTGTGAAGATATACATCATATATTTCAATCAAGTTTGTGATGATTCCTGGAATATCTTTGGGTTGTTGCCCTTGACTTAACCTATACTAATCAAAATTGTCTGGTAAACCTAATACCACAGAAACTAAAGTTGGATCATGTTTATAGATAAATTAAGATCTTATGAAAATATTTTTATTTATTGCCAGATTTTTTTAAGGATTTATATGTTAATGCATAAGATAACCTTTTCAAAAGCAACCATGAAATTTGCTTATGTGTGAGTGTATCGCCTTTTTGGTGTTTAAAATGTCTTTATTTTATTAAGGATAAAGTAGGCGACCTTGACTAGGAAGCTGTCTCTTAGATGAATTCATATTATAAGATTTATTTTGTTTTTAAATCTAGGTTTATTCTATTATTCTATTGGTAATGATATTGGAGCTGAAATGGCTTATCTTGAAGCAAACAAATTGAATCATGCTGAAGCTGTATCATCAGTTAAAGTTGATGGTGCTGTAGAGAAATTAGATACAGAGGCACCACTTGATACTGACCCTACTAAAGGTATGCAGTATAAATATAGATTTAGACTTAGGTTTCAAATATCTTCTGTAGATAGATATTATAATGAATACTGTCAAGATTGAATTTCATCAACATGCTCTAAACACGAAGGACAATAATCCCTTTTACAATAGACCACTATAATGTGTTCCTTTCTTGGTCCAGGCCGCGATAAAATGTGCCCATTTGCATTACAACTCAAGTGGTCTGAGAACAGTTCATTAGTTATAGTGTAAATGAAAAGCATTCTAGGTATGGTTATCTGTGCAACTCTTCTTGAAGAAGTAAAATTTAACCCTCCAAGTCACTGTGATATTATTAAAAACATTTAGATGTAATAAATAATTTCACTGAATAATGACGAAATTCCACGGGAAAAGGTGAAGGTCATTTGTGAGGCAGTAAAGTGTTCTCGGCACAGTTACCGTTTACATTACACCAATTTATCCAGTCTGTTCTGAGAACCATTCTGAGAACATCTCACCAAGGTGGGCTCGAATTGGAACGGTTCTCAGAACGCTCGACTGTTTACACAAAAGGTCTGAGAACGGATAAATTTTGTAATGTAAAAAAAGGTTTCTGTTTTAAAGAATTAGATGTAAGGGATTATAAGCTTTCCTTTTCATAGTGTTTATTTTAATATATTTGTGAATTAACAAAATTTTGCTCAAAAAGAGATCATTTAGAACATATGTTGCAATATTGCAACCTTTGGAACTTTTTTCAAGAAAAAGAAAACCTTTAAAACATATAAAAAATGTTATTTTTTGGATCATGGTTTGAATATCATTGATTGATTATTGATTATTTTTTGAAGATGGAGAGCTTTCTGGTGAAGGAGGTTTATCTGTACCACATTCTGATGGTAAAACAGTATCAACTCCAGAGGGCACAACATATTCAGCAAAATCATCTCATAAAGGTCTTGATAAACGTGCTTCATCAACTAAAAAATCAGGTAGTTTTCAATATTAACATGTTTTTTTTTGTGTATTTGGTGCATAAATGTTCTTGAAATTTGAATAACGTCCAGCTTATTTCATTTTTGTTGTATATAGTCCACCAACACCTCCAGAATTTTCTTACGTATTATATCTGTTAGTCCACCAGTCCATCCAAATTGCACATAAACACTAAATATGACCCTTTTCTTGAGATACTTTGATAAAATAATTTATATTCATCACCATTGAATTCAGTTATGAAAAAAAAAAAAGCAACAGCATATTTCGAAATAATTGTTCTTCAAAGTGCATTTCACTGTAGAAGACTTATTCAAAGTATATTCAATGTTAGTTATGTTTATCTTAATTATCATCAGTCAGTCAATGAATACTTTAATTTTGTTGTAATCATTTGAAATACTTTTTAACCCAGAAAAAATTGGTTCAGCACTAAAAACTAAAGGACCAGAAAGTGCACTATCAGTTTCCCGTCCACCAAGTCAACAAAAAGTAGTAAGTCAACGTGGCACACCATTGCTTACAGATGATGTGGTTGATGATCCTCCATCAAGAGAACCAACACCTCTGCCATCTTGTAGTATCTATATGCAGACAGTAGATTGGTTATTAGAAGCTAAAGCAGTATCGGTAAGACATCTAAAGTCTTTTACTTGTTGACTTTTACAGAGTTACCGCAACTGATAATTTGATGACAAAATTTCCTCTTTTTTTGAAATAGGGACTTTGAAAGGCAAATAGTTGACAGAATCTTTTCTATACCAACCAACAGATCTAAATTTCAGCTTGTATTTTTTGGAATAAAAATCCAACTTCTGGTTGGATCGATTTGCACCATTTCAATTTTCAATCAGATGTCTGTGGTTGCTGCAGATTCCACTAAAACTAAGTGTTTTATGACATCACCATCAAAAAGATGTTTTTTTTTTCAGTTTGCAGAAAGAGCTTTAGCTCATGAGTTGTTATTACCATGTACTGATATGATTCAAGGACCTTCCATAGATTATCACATAGCTTTAGCTAGATTGAATATACAGAAAAGAAAGTTTACAGAGGCTGCGGAATCTTTAACAAAAGCTCTAGAAATGGAGCAACAGGTATATATCATATTTACTACCAGATATCAGGTGTAAAAAGGTGGTATACTAGATGTATGTTGATAACTTGAGTAATTTGATTATGATGGGGTTATTTTCCTATTGAAATGAATTAATTGCTTTCAACAACAGATGTTGATCAAATATTTTTGTATTATACTTTCCAGAATCCTGATGGTTGGTCTTTAATGGGTCATGTTAAATTTTTAACTGGAGACACACAAAGTGCTAGAGATTGTTATGAAAGAACTACATCATTTATAGGAGATGCTATTGAAATGCATTCAATATATCTACGTTTAGCATCAATATACCTGCAAGAGTCAAAGGTACTGACTTTTTAAAAACAAAATTCTGTTTACCATACACAAACAATCCACATTGTCATCTGATAATCTGTCTGTCAACATTGTGTCTGTGATGTTAAAGATTTGTTGCAGTAATCGCCAATTCAAATTCTTAGTTTAGGTAATGCAGATAAATGGCCTTCTTTTTAAATTTTAAATTTGTCTCCCAGAAGAATTTTTTCATTTTCAAACAATTGTATGCAGTGAATAGATCTGAAGATTTCAGGTGTATTAATAATTAGTTTTGTTTTGTTGAAATAGCCTATTCCAATAGCCTAAAGCTTATAAAATGCTCAACACATAACGAAAAATCACAACTTTATATTTCAGTATCAAGATGCAAAAAATACCTTTTTAATGGCATGTAGAAAAAATCCATCTTGTATATCATGGTTGGGTGTTGGAATAGCATGCTATAGGGTAAGTAAATCAAAATAATTTTCTGAAAACTAAAGATTCAACTTTATCATCAGGTTTTAATTTTGAAAGTTTATGTACTCTTGTTATATCTTTATTCCTTATCAGTCACCTTTTTTTATTTAGTTCCTTCATTTTATATTGTTTTATTATTAGTTGTGGTAATAGAAAGAACACGTGTACCTCCATTGTGTCCAAACCACACTGTCATTGTGCCTCGAGTCTGTAAGATTTCGGTAAAGAATTCAAGCTGACAGAAGATAAAATCTTTACTGTTTTGTTTACATGACCTTTACCCCTTCTTCATTTAACCTCAATCTGATATTTTAAAATAATCTCTTTCCGCGCCCACAAAACGAAATGTAGTGGGCTTAGTTTGATACAGATTAATATGACCATGTTAAAACCCGTATTCATGATATGATGATTGAATCCAATAATACTTGACCCCCCTCTCTATTTTCTAGCTCATTAAGTATAATATATTCTAATCCTTATATATAGATGTTTAACTTTTCAGATCCTATTCATACTCTCTTCTTTTAGAACTGGTAACAAGAAAGCTTTCATATTATAGACTTTTGTTTATTGTAGATTACTCGTGGGTGTTTTTTGAACTTAATACTAACTATGCTAACTTCACCGTATCTTGTATTGAACATTTATCTCTTTATTTGTGACCTTGGCCAGTGCTTTACATAGAAGTTTTTAGAAACTTCTTCACTCTTAACACCAGAAAGCATTAGAAGTTGTTATGTCAGTATTTTCCTAATATTTATAGTTTTGTCATAATAAATTTGATTTGATGTAAATGAAACTTTGTGTGCATTATATATTGGTGTCATATTGAACAAATATGATTTTAACTCTCATCTCATCTATGACAAATTAACAATTCTGTACCCTGTTCAATCTTGTTTTGTTGAACTTTCCGGTTGAATCTAAACTAACTGAACTCACCAATCAATACCACTATAGAGATATGATAAAATTGTTTCACTTCAGTTTATTATATATCTCTTGGCATAAATGGATTTTTTCTAAAGGGAATGAAAAAATTTTGTTTGAATCATTTTATAGTTGGGTGAATTGGTAGAAGCAGAAGATGCCTTATCAGAAGCTAATATATTAAACAACAGTGATCCAGAGGTCTGGGGTTATTTATCTTTGGTTTGTTTGAAGACAGCGAGACAATTAGAAGCTGAACAGGCCTATAAATATGCAGTAAAGGTATATCAACTATTTTATGACTATTTGATCACTAATGTACTTATGGTATTAATTCCTAGTTAAGACAGTCATATGCTTCCATTTAAAACTACAAATTTTCCACCTTGATTTTTTTTACTCCCACATCAAATCTATTAAATGTATCTGCCCATTCTCAATTTGTTACTAACACTCGAGAGTTGAGTTGTTAACCATTTTTGATCAAATTGTAAGCTTCAAATTCAACCAAAAATGAACATCAACTTTGAATTTAAGCACTTTTTTAGACCCTCGATATATTATCAAATAATTAAATCACGATTCAGTTTACACTGTATCACGCAATTTGATTGGATAACAGCGGTCACATGCATTCGGTTTATATCTGTGTAAACGGAATGAAAATATAAGCTCCGACTCTTTACGGACTACTTTTATCATTGAGTTTGATTGACGTGGTCACTACACGGCGTCGATGTCATTCCTTCAAACGTCAACAGAGCCAAAATCGACACATCACTGAATGATAAAGGTATTTTCTAAATTCCCCCAAATGTGCACACTCCAAATTCCAACAATATCATGAATTCTGGACTTATTTTGAACTCGTCTTTCAATAATTGAACTTTCATGTAGTAGACAGTAGACTTTAAATAGGTGACCTACTTATTTTTGATTGGCTGTTCTCTAGGACGTCTTTATTGTTAGTATCGGTTTATTAACGTTATGTTAAAATGTTATGTATTTATGCGCCAATTTAGTGCCTTAAGTTTTTGTTATATTACATAAATATTTAAACACTTATTCGAGTTGATTTAATTATAAGGAATGACTTGAACATTTTTTCAGTTTATCGATGTAAAAACATAAAAACCCTTGTACACTGTATAAACCACTACGCAGATTTATACAGTTATACAGGTTTTTTCTGTTTATACATTGATAAACTGAAAAAATGTTCAGGTCATTCCTTAAATGTAATTATGCCTATTAAAGGGGCAATATGTAAATTTTTATTATCAAAAACGATGTAAATTATACTCTAAAATTCTCTAAAATAATCTTTTTGTTTCTATGAATCTACTTGATCATCCTGAATTTGTTTTAAAATACTGAGTGTTCTTATTAGTAAGTAAGAAGGTAAGAATAAATAGGAAACACAATTCTCATCAATTTGACATTTAATTAAATCAATACAGTAGTTTTCTAAAACAAGTCAAAAACTAAGTAGACTTCAAACTTTTTATATAGTTTTGGCCTTTTAAAAATTAATTTGCAGTTGAACCTTTCAGATTTTTAATTTCTTTAGAATTAAATCAATAGTTTTTAACCAAATTTGATAAGGTTTGGTGTTGTAAACATAAACCTTAATGAAGATCAAGTTCCAATTTAGAACTTTCTGAATAATAATGTTTTGAAAATACCATTGCTTAATCATTTTTTCACCTGAATTTATAAAAAGTAAGGTAAATGTATAGGATTAAGAAAATGAACACTTTGCAGCGATTTCAAATTTTAATCCACATGACCTTTAATAGTGAATTCTATCTAGTTTTCTGACCAAATGTGGATCAAGTGAGAAGTTTCTCACTTCACGAAGCTGAAGTGAGTGTATTTAGACATGTTAAGTTAATTCACCCATCAACTTGACAATCAAAATTTTATCAACCTTTATTTGGCTTGATTCCTTCAGATTAGACAGCAAGTAAACATATATAATGACAATGGTATTTTCTAATTGTGGCAAAATAACTTAACTTTGATAATCTCATTTAATTCCAGCTCAATTTACATGATGAAAATCTTCTCAATGAGATTCATGATCTACAGAAGGAAGTTGGTTTTGGAAATCCCCAGTTTTAATTTTAGAATCTAGAAATAAAGTGAAGACTTGAAGAAGATGAATAAACCCTGAATTACTTGTTATTTGTTATACATTGTAATATTCCTACATTGCAATTTTTAAGTAGTCTATTTATGAATTTTTTTACATTTAAAAGAGTGATATTTTGAATTTTAATATCTATTATTTTTGGTGCAAATATTATGAAAATTCCAAGCCAAATGAAATACATGTACAATTGTCCATGTTAATTATCTATTCAGAGCTCTATTAATTTATATTTTTCAATGTCCCTTATCATAGAAAATGAGATTTCCTCAATAGGAAATTCCTACAGAATTGAGATCTTACTAAATGATGAAAATATTATACATAACAGATTTGTTCAACATATTACCTTTTTTTAATATTAATTCAGTTGAAAATGATTATCAAATGATCAAACATCTTGTTAGGAATACTACCTCTAAGAATGACCAAAATTTTTTTAACTTGACCAAAATGAATCTAAATTCATAAGTAGACTTAACTGGTGTCATAACTATAAGACAGAATCCCTCTATAATCCCATAAATCATTAAACTAAGTAATTATCCATAAAACTACAGGTAATTATTATTTTAAGCTGTTTTTAATAATTACTTTGTTTAATTGATTTATCATTAAGGGATTCTGTTGTTTTGTTGTTAGATTTTATGAAATTACTTAAGAAAGATTTTAGTGTATGACTAAAGCAGGGATATTTAATGGTTACTGTTATCCCAAATGTTCATATTTTACAAAAAAGGGCTGTCAATGGATGTACTTAATAACTTACTTGGCAAGCTTTCTTTATATATAAATAGATTCAAATGAAGTCATTTGTAGAGTGAAAGAATAGAAAATCACATTATAGAAATCTACTGACAATGTATATTGTTTTGCAATCTGTGATATTTTCAATTAAAATGTATATCGATTACATGTAAATCATTTGTTTATTATTGTTTAGTTATAAGTTTTTTATATCCATTCACATTTCTCCATTTACACAATCAGTGGTATAATTAGGGACAAGGGGCATCATGTCATTGCCCTGCCCCTCTGCCCTAAAAATGAAAAAGTGAACATGATAAGGAAGCAGATTTTATCCGATTTAGATGAACATGTAAAATGAATGATATATCGGTCAAGGTTAATTTTGTGATAATCGAATGAACGGTTTTTGAATAATTGGCCTTGACTAAGTAAGAAAGTGTTAAATTTGGCTTGTTAACACGATACAGTTTACATCAGATTTAGATGAGATCTCAAGTTCGAGGAATCGATGGTGGCCAATTAGTCGTCTTGCTTGCTAAACAGAAGGTCCAGGGTTCAATACCAGCATATAAGTCAACATCATAACTTCGGATTTTCTCAACCGATTTCAACCTGTCAGTGATGTAGGCCAGAGGGACTGTCACAGAAAAAAGTGTCAAGTCATTCGTATGGAACAATCAACCCCATGTGCTACAGGCTGTGAAAGTAAGACACCCATCAACAGTTTGAAATCTACAAAGTATCCAGGCAAAATTTCCCTCATTGCGTTGCCCGTCCTAAGACTATAATTAGGTGAAGAAGAGTAGGACGTTAATAAACTCTATTCAAGTTCAAATTTGGTAACAAGAGAATGAGTGGTATTTGAGTTATAGCCCTTGACTTAGTAGAAACCTGTCAGAAGAAAAACTCTTTAATAGATTTGGTGGAGATATCAACAAATTCAACTATAAATGCATTACAAGAAACTTCAAATCTTAAGTCTCTGTATCAGGTCGATCAGAACACTGATATTGAACAAATGCCTTACGAACGGCTTCACGACCAACATTGTTATCAATGTTGGTATAATACAATACTGGTTACGTCCAAAGAAATGAAATACGCGTTTTCGGGAATGTCCAATTTCTTGATTTTTTCAACAAAATCGGTTGTGTCTTTCAGATAAGAAGGATGTTTGCATGCTAGCGGCAACAAAAAGTAATCTATGTATTCTGAAACTCGGTCTACCTTTAGGAATTTTGTTGGCAACGGACCACTCAGTTTCGGGATTTTTATGAATTTTCGGAAGCGTCTAAATGTGTCGTTGGCGAGGCTCGGTGGAGGGTGAAAGGTAGTCATATTGCTTTTCTGAAATAAATTTCTTTTTTATCAAGTTTTGTAGAATATTGTTTATTTCTCGCGCAGTTTCCATAAAAATAGGTGTATCAAGCTCGCAATAGTGATTTGGATTGTTCAACTGTGATCATTTATAATAATGAGATCTTGGTTAAGTTTGAATTTGACACTTTTTCTTTTTGAGTTACTGCCCTTGAATTATTAAAGGTTTTTGAGTTTCTTTACGAGGTAGGCCTAGGACGTGTAAGAATTTTATAAAATTTTGTCAATTACAATGTCATAGACAAGTTAGATTAATTTGTTATTCGCTTTTACAGTATCACGATGAAGAGGTCGCACACAACAACCGAGTTCCATAAGTGACTACCTAAAACAACCACAGTATCAGACTTCGAAAAATTATCAAAGACCTACAACCATCCTTATGACAACCTAAAAATTTGAGTACTCATCTAATAGATTTGCCACGAATGAAACTGGTACAATTCCTTGTAGAAGTAATCATTGCCATTCATGTAAAATAATCAACTCGAGTTCCCTCTAATGCTATTTTAATTTCTATCGACGTTTCTTCTATGTATACCAATATCGATAACACTACTGGTTTAACGGCAGTTCGTAAAGCTTTTAATAGAAACCCAGATCCAAACAGACCCGACGATGCAATTCTACAGCTTTTAGAGATTTGTCTTAGTCGAAACGATTTCACATTTAATGGTAAAACATATTTACAAACTTCAGGGACAGCAATGGGCAAACGATTCGCCCCTTCGTACGCAAACCTTTTCATGGCAGAGTGGGAACGTGAGGTGTTGCCCCTCTGTCCACTTGACCCACTTTTTTACGGACGCTTTTTGGATGACATTTTTATGGTTTGGACTTATTCTATCGAACAGTTTTGGGAATTCTTTGAAATTCTCAACAACCACCATCCTTCTATCAAACTAACCGCAAACGTGAGTGACAAAAGCATAGACTTTCTCGATACCACAGTCTTTAAGGGAGATTCCATAGCAGAAACAAATAAACTGGATATTAAAGTGTATTTCAAAGAAACTGATACTCATCAACTCTTGCACAAGAGCTCCTTTCACCCAAAACATACCTTTTCTGGTATAATTAAGTCACAAGTTTTACGATTTCATCGAATTTG